TTCGGCTTATTTTTCATAATATAACCAAATACTAAAAAGTATTTTCTAGCTTATTTTTTTTATACTATTAAATATAAAAAAAATTATTTTTTTTTAAAAATTATCTTTTATCAAACAAACATATTCTCAGCAAAATTGTCATCCACACGTGACATAATCGCTAGTTTTAGGGGTATAACCGGCTACAGTTCTACTATTGAATTAATTACTGTGGAAGCCATCCTACCTCTTGCAATAGCTGAAAGGACAACTAGCTTGAAGGCCACCGAACAAGCTCTGCTGATGGTATCAATTTCAAGTTAGGGAAGACCAAGGAATTCAAAAATAATGGGCAATGTATAATAGAACAAAGGCTTAGTTACTAAAATCAGAAAAGAAGAGGATTCAAAAGAAAAACGATTAATCAAAGACCTGGATTGTGAATTAGACTACCTTTAAATTATCATAACTCCATATGAGTATATTACATGAACTGCATGTGAGAAGGGGAAAGATTTTATATAAATATATATTATTCTTACACCTTGCCAATTACTTGAACAATTAACATATAAAAGAGTCTGATGAACAATTATTCTATATTTAAGAGAGAGAGAGAAGAAAAATTCTAAGAAATAATCGAGGGAAATCCAAGGGGCGTTGAATTGAAGCGTGTAGACTGTAGAAGAAGCCTCTTGAAGAAGAAGAAGAAGAAAGAAATCCTTTGTGCCTCTTGAAGAAGAAGAAGAAGAAGAAAGAAATCCTTTGGTGGTAATCGTAAGAGGCATAAAAGAGAACAAATACAGATTACGTAATCGGAACTTGGGAATGGGCCAAGTCCAGCCCATTTACAGATGGATGATTCATGAAATGAGCCAGCCACTTGCAAGAAGTCCTCTCTCTTCTCCAATCCTTCCACGTATCTATTCTAGTTTCTCTTTCATATATATCCCTCCCTTCTCTCGATCTGTATCTGACCGCCCTTTTTGTTAGTCTGATTGATCATCATTGAAAGCAAGCCTTTCGTACTTGGAAAGAGAAGAAATATGTCTTCGTTGGGGACATCAAAGGGGATCTTGGAGTTTGCTAAATTCGGCGTTTATGTGACCGTTCCCGTTGTTCTTATGTACGCTTTCGCTAACAATACAAAGAATCTCCAGAAATTCATGGGAAATGTATGTATCTCCCCCTCTCTATAGATATATGTCGTTTTTGTTTATTTTCTTGGCTAATTGATTGCCCAAACTGGTATACTCATGTTAAGCTAATGCTAAAAAGATACTGAGATTCTCTTTGCTTTTTATTTTTTATTTTATGGAATCAGTTATTCTTTCATTTAATCATTGCTTTCGCTGTTTGCTCATGAACGTATAGTTGAAACCACACAGACTTGCCCATGAATTATGTTGTGTGTCCATGTCTCTTTCAATCCACCCTTGAGTTAATACTGCGATTAGGGTTTGGATGTGGTCCTCATTCACTTTCATTTAGCTAAATCAACATTACTATGTGTTTTCTAGAGTGTTAATGTTGTTAGATTACGCATTATCTCTAAAGTTTGTAGGCACGGTAACTGCAATTAGTTGCTGGCATTTGTGCTTCTCTTGATAGATGCAATCCAACCAGTACTTTCTTGATCTCGAATAAGAATTCAGCCTAAATTTCAAGTTGCTGACTAAACAAGTTTGTTTTAATTTTTGTCCACACGACGCCTTTTCTCACCCTGCCACCCGAGTTGTGATGGAACGTTGTTCTTGCTATCTGCTCTGCCACAAGCGGGTAGATAAATGTTCTCTCCTTTCCAAGCTACCATAGACACGCTGAAAGCATCTTTTTTGCACTGTGCATGAGAGAGTGGGCTAAACTTTGTCCAGCTCTCATTACAAGCTCCAACTTTCTCACCACGAACTACCAACACCTGTTGATCCCAAAAGCCTCACTCATACTCACACGCAAGACAAGATATGGCATACCTTTACTTTGTTGTCGATTGAGAAGACTTGAGGATCTAAATACGCCATCATCCATTATTAATATGAATCACTGGCGGAGTAGCTCTCTGGGTTCTAGCAACCTACCAACATCTGTCGATCCCCAAGTCCTCACTCATACTCACACGCAAGACAAGATATGGCATGCCTTTACTTTGTTGTCGATTGAGAAGACTTGAGGATCTAAATACGCCATCATCCATTATTAATATGAATCACTGGCCGAGTAGCTCTCTGGGTTCTAGCAACCTACCAACATCTGTCGATCCCCAAGTCCTCACTCATACTCACACGCAAGACAAGATATGGCATGCCTTTACTTTGTTGTCGATTGAGAAGACTTGAGGATCTAAATACGCCATCATCCATTATTAATATGAATCACTGGCGGAGTAGCTCTCTGGGTTCTAGCAACCTACCAACATCTGTCGATCCCCAAGTCCTCACTCATACTCACACGCAAGACAAGATATGGCATGCCTTTACTTTGTTGTCGAATGAGAAGACTTGAGGATCTAAATACGCCATCATGCATATTAATATGAATCACTGATGGAGTAGCTCTCTGGGTTCTGGCAGGAGAGATGGAGAGGATGTGAAATGCTAAGGGGAAAAAACAAGGGCACAGTTCTGAGGTTATTGAGTTAGCCTGAGAGGATTTGAAAAGGATAAAAATTTACTAATATTAAGCATATCAAGAAATTGAATGAGCTGCTGTTCAACAGGTCGTAAGTAATTTGAACTTGTGTTGTTGTGCTGGGTTAGGACTTGGTAGAGATGGAGGCTTTTGAGTTTAGACTTGAAGATAAAAGGTTTGTAGTTGAATTGTATTTGCATTGGGTTACATTTGAGGGCAAAGGAATAACTTTAGTGATTGGAATTTAAAATTTCTGTTGGAGGTTTCCTCGGCAGCAACTTGAGATGGGTATGTTTGAGTGGTTAAATTGTTGGAAATTAGTTGGAAGAATTGCTGGTAATCAAGGTTTATGTTGATATGGTTGATAAGAGGTAATAATTTCGACAAGACTTTGGATGCTCCACATTTATACCCAAAGCACTGTCTGAGCAGAATCCTGAAACAGAAGTGCATAAAGAGGGAGGGAACAAAAGGACAGCAGATCATAGAGGCAGCTTTGTGGAAGGTCCTCAACTAAAGTATCAAATGCCCTGTTTTCTAGGAAATTGCAACGATTGTGATTGTGTCTTTGAATATCAATTCACCTGTATTTGTGGTATAAACCTTAAATTAGAACTTTACTTAACTCAAAACTAGTAAGGATTTGGTCTCAAAAGCAAAGTAAGCAATGCCTAAGCTGTAAAGAATGACATTAGGTGTAATGGACAGATTTGATCCCTTGGCTTCACCATAGCTTTGTCATCAGTTTATTGTAGTTTGCAAGAGTTGCCTTTCTTGGCAGTGACAAGTTTACACCATCTTGATTGAGCTGTATGATGTGGTAATATTCTATCGATGCAGTGCACCTAGAAACTTGCAGGTTTTTCTGAAACGGTTAATTTTCTTGTTATCTAGTCCTTTCATGAACATGGTCATCTGTCCTTAAGTGCTTGCTAAGGTTGGAGCCTCTGTTTTTCTGAAACACGCCTTTGATGAATTCTTTTAAATTTTAACCATCTTATCTTGTTTATGAATTCTTTTAAATTTTAATCATCTTATCTTGTTTTTCTTTTGCATGAAGCGTTCATACATAGTGTTCCCTTCAAAGATAGTAAGACCTCCATCACCAGAAGAGATGAGGGAAAGGGCCCGAGAATTGGGTCGCAGGAAGGATACTCATTGATGCTGACTGCAAGTCACCATTGTAGCCTCGCAGGTTTTTTTTTTTTTGGTTTCCTACCAACAACATATATGTAATATGCAGCTGTATGCTCTGTGGATTTTGTTTCAGCAATTAAATAATTTTTCCTGTTTGGAGAAGTATTAGATGAATGCTGTGGATGATATACCACCCACATAAAACTGACTTGATGAGGGATGAATTTCCTTGCAGTAGTTTGCTGTCTTTATCTTCGTGCAATGTTTACGCCAATATCCAGTTATCCTCGTAGATTAAGGCACTCCCATATGACGCATGGACCTTTCGTTTATGATTTCAAGTTAGTAACGGAGAAAATTCATCCTAGACTTCTATATAAAATCTTGAAACACCACAGTATATATGTCAGCGGTGTAACTTATGGAGTCTTATCTGGTTGGGGAAGTGAAAGATGATAAGGTATCATAAGTATTTTTGGGGAACTGTAGAGACTTGATGATTTTCTGTGAATTAGCAGCGACAGGCAACCAGCATCAATCTTTGACTTGTCAAGTAGACTAGTAAACTTCAGGGCTGTGTTAGAATGTCATTTCCAGCCTGGTGGTTGGTTGGTACTTTCAGCGCTCAATTATGAGTTGGTTAACCGGTTTATATCATAATCAGAACAATTTCAATGCTTCAATATAGAGATAGGATGGTATAAGAATAGATTGAATTATAGTCATTAGCAAAATGCGTGGAAATCTGCGGGATAAGATTGGTGTATAGTGATGGTTCAAATACGAGTCATGGTGCGAAGTCCACCCTACCGGCAAGGGAACAAAGAGAGACAATGTTTAATTTAATATTGTTGTGTTTTAAATTTTATTTTTTTTATAATTTATTGTTTTTTTTTAAATTAATATTTTTAAATTTATTGTTTTGTTTTAAATTAATATTTTTAAATTATTTTGATGTGCTTATATCAAAAATAATTTTTTAAAAATAAAAAAATTAATTGTAACCACATTTCTAACAAGATTTCAAGAAAAAATAGGTAAGTATATTCAATAAGCCCAAAAACACATGATTTTATATGAAATTAATGCCCCCGTGCAAAGACCTCCAGCTTTAGAAGACTTGGTTCCAATTTCTTTATAGGATTCGATTGATGATTCCACTGCTCTTGAGTAATCTTGCCTTATCGGCTCAAGGGTCTCCCCTTTTATAGCATGCCTTGAAAAGGACGATTGAGTCAAGATTCACGGCCCAAGGCATAAAAGAAGCATTTTCTACGGGATTATGAAGGCTTTGTTTGAATACAATTGTGTTTTTAATTTTTTTTTTATCTTTAAATTGATTTTTTAAATATATTTTAAAATAAAAAATATTTTAAAAAATAATTTTTTCATCAAATTAATGGTTCGAAACACCCACGCCCCCACCTAATTCATGATAGCCCACCAACTTCCTGGGAAATTTGCAGAATAAGACTGGCATAAGTATTCATCACTCCAGCTTGGAAATGAAAATAAACAAGTACCGGTAAAATAAACTGAAGTAGAGTGGACGGGAACAGCGAGGACCCCAGACCGAGAAAGAAAGGCAGCGCCTCTCTATCTGTCAAGTGTCTGATCCATCTGCTGTCCATGTTTCCATCCAAGTGACGGGGAGTAAGAAAATGGCGCAAGTGGCCAGCCTAAGACCAATCAACACTGAGAAAAAGACATGTAATTGCAAGTAAGCCAATAACTCGGTACGGTATCCTGCATTTTTAGATGAAAAGAATGAATGACTAGTTGAGCCCTTTTGTGCCCTGCCCTCTCAAAGCATTCTTATACATTGACAAAGGCGTTTTGGGCCTCATCTATGACATCTTGCTCCGGGGCAAGCATTGCCCTAGGTTCATTTACAGCCCAAGTCCATTCCCATTACTTATCGGCTCTAAAACCCTTGAATAAAGAACAACCCTCTTTTTTTGCAAGAGCAAATTAGGATCTTTTTCTACATAAAACCATTCAATCTTGATCCAAGTCAACTTTAATTTAAACAAACAAGTAATTTCATTGGACTATAGACTATGGTAACTGATCGATGAAAAAACCTATGGTAAAATTGAACATGACGACCACCTCCTTGTAAAAAGACCAAACATGTATTTTTTTTATAATAAACTTTTATTATTATTATTATTAATGTGGATGTAAGACATGTGTTTCCCTATAATAAATTTTTTTTTTATTATTATTAATATGGATGTCTAACTTGTGTGTATTTTGATTAATATCTTATTTCTAAAATTGATAATTATATAAATTTTAAGTGACCTTGAAGTTTATGAAACTCGAACTAATAATCTCTAAAAAATAAACTTAAAACCTGCAGCTTATGCGTATCTTAATTAATATTTAATTTTTAAAATTAATGATTATATAAATCTCTAGTAGTCTTAAAGTTTGTAGGACTCGAACTAATAATCTCTAAAAAATAAATTTATAACCTGATTAATTGAATTACACCTTTTATAATTAAATAAATTTTTTATTTATTAGTTTGTTTTTTTAGTTGAGTTACACATTTTATAATTGAATAAATTTTTTATTTATTAGTTTGTTTTTATTGTTTATCTCTCCACTAATTTTTTGGACTTTAAAATTATTAATTATATAAAAATTTTATAATATTAAGATTTATAAAATTTAAATTTATTAATTATATAAAAATTTAATAATATTAAGATTTATAAAATTTAAATTTATTTGGAAATTAATGAGTTGAGCTACATGGAATAAACTCCTCCTTTATTGGCTTGGCCTTATTATTATTTTTTCCACGACGCGTGTATGAAAAAATGAGGGCTCCTTCCTGATTCGACGTTAAAGGAAAGAGAGGCCGAATTTTCTCGGGTATTTTCCCGGTAAATTATTGACTTAGAAACCAAGACTTGAAGTCAAGGTATATATGTATATGTAAATAAATTAAAGCTGTAATGAGGGAGACTTATGCAGAGAGCTCTTTGCCTCTCAGAGTTCTCAGAGAATCAAGCCGGAGAAGCAAGAGGTACCTTTCTTTTTGGCTTTTAGTTTCTTTTGTTTTATGTGGCTTGGTGATTATATTGAAGCTTGGTTGCTAAGAAAGCGGAAGCCACAGCTTTAGCGGCTCTAGTTTCTTTTTTAATCTTTTGCTTGTTGGTGATTATATGAGCGACAATGTAATCTTCCCGTCTCCTTTTAGTGTTTTTATTACTCCATCCATTATTTTGATATTTTCATGTCTGCCATCACAGAACCATCCAGTAATTACTCCACATATATGTAATTTTCACCAGTTGGGTTATTATATTTGGTTTTTCTAAAGTGGGTTCCTGCCAGTTCAGGGCAGAAATGTGGTTTTTGGAAGGTGGAGTCGGTTTTTCTGCTTCTGGGCATGTTATTGGATCCGGTTTGAACTCTTAGGCGGTTTGATTGGTGTCATTTAACTTACTAATGTGAGTTGCCATATATGTATGCACTTGGCAGTCACTTAACCTTGCTTGCTATGCCTCTAATCCACTTCTGTTTCTGGCCAATGAAATTATGTTAGTTGTTGGTTCTTATGTGATATGCCCACCGCTAGATGAAAGAAAGAAGAAACATTGTTGGTTATTTCTGTACCTGTGTGCACTTTAAAGTCAAGATAGATTGTGTTCATGATTTTGGTGGAATCACTGTTTTTATTTTTATTTTCATCTTTTTGAGATGAAACCCTAAATATCAGCATTTGGCTATTTGGATGTTATTTAGTCTCGTATCATTGTTTCCAATTTTATTTCTTTTACAGGGTAGTGCTTGTGGGCTTCTGATGTTTCTGTGGATGCCGGATTTAGCAGATTATGCATTGAATAATATGTGATTGATGTCAATTTGTCTTGGCTGTAGTTTCATTACAGGATTTGGCTTAAGAGTATATAATGGCATTGGAACTGGTACCCATAGGAACCATTTTGGCTGTGTTAACGAGCCAGGTACTTAAAACTGCCCAGGCTGCAAAGGATGTTCTAATTGAGAAGGAGAGTTTCAAGGTTCTGGCAAAGCACCTCTTTGACATCGAATCAGTGTTAAATGAACTGCAGCTTCAGAAATTGGATGACTCTAGAGCTGCCAGGCAAGCACTTGAAACCCTTGAAGCAGATGTCAAGAAGGCAAATAATTTGGTTGAGAAGTATAAAAACCGGGCCCGTTTCTACTTACTAGTAAAGTGTCGTCATATTGTAAATGAGGTGCAAGAAGTGACTAGGGATATCGGCAGGTCTTTGAATGCTTTATCACTTGCGAATACTGAAGTCCTCGCAGGGATATCTGACCAGATGAATAGGCTACAGGATGAAATGCGAAGGGCTGAATTCGAAGCTTCGCATTCTCAGCTTCAGATTGTTGACAAGTTAAACCAGGGTCTGCGTGACCAGAAACTCGACCAGGGTTTCGCTAATGACATGCTGGAAGAAATAGCCAGGGCTGTTGGTGTACGTGTAGAACCTTCAGAGATAAGCAAAGAGCTAGCAAGCTTTAGAAGGGAAAAGGAAGAAGCTGCCAATAGGAAAGAAAGAGCTGAAGTTCTATTCTTAGAGCAGGTTATCGAATTGCTTTCTCATGCTGATGCTGCTAGAGATTATGAAGAAATCAAGAAGCAGTATTTTACGAGGCTTCAGGTTGTTGAGCGATTTGATGACAGGGAAGAATATATTACTCCACTTACTCCTTTCCTTTGTCGTATAAATCGGACTGTGATGACTGATCCTGTTAGCCTTTGTACTGGTACTACCTGTGAGAGAGCTGCCATTGAAGCTTGGTTTGACCGCGGAGAGAGAACTGACCCAGAAACAGGTGAGATTCTTGAAGATACAACTTTGAGGTCTAACATCCGGCTTAGACAATCAATAGAGGAATGGAGAGAACTAAATTATTGCCTCAGAATCAGAGCTTCTAAGGCAAAGTTGTTAGCAAGTGCTGACTCATCTGTAGAAGAGGCCCTAAACCAAATGCAGGATCTGATGAGAGAAAATTCAATAAACAAGGATTGGATCTCCATAGGAGGTCTAACAGATATCATAATATCTATTCTTGGGACCAGTCATAACAAAGATGAGAAGAGGAAGATCTTAGTAACCTTAAAGGATCTCGTCAAAGGGCATGTAAGAAATAAGGTAAGCAGCATCGATAATAGTGCTCATGCATTAAATCTTTAGGGGTGATTTTAAATCTGCCAGCAATTTTATCTTCCATACATCCCCCTAGCTTAATTGAACTTTATTTTAACTTTCATATTTCTTGCACTCGTGGAGCTTCTATGATGATTCTGATTCTGGGATGTAAAATCCATGCAATATAGCGATGATGCTATGAATAAAGCAGTATTTGTGTTTGTTTTGAATATATAGATTATTTTGCTCATGATGGTTCTTTTATAACTGCATTTCTTTTTTCTATAAGCCTACAGCCATTAATAATGTGAAGTTTTTAGGCATTTGTTTATGGTGTGTGAGTGTGTGTGTATTCTCTATTTCCAAAAACTTGTGACATATCTTACTGGTTGAATGATAAGTTATTATGTTAGACTGCTTTCTCGTGTCTCAATCTCACATGCTAATACATCTATGAAATACATCGACACCCTAGAAGGACAGATTTGAGCTCTGTTTTGCTTTGTGAGCACCATTAGATGTGTAAAGGAACAAATTAGCTCATAGTAAGTGAAGAATAGTAACTGAATCAAATGTCACAGGAAAGATTGGTCGATTATGGAGGGTGGGATCATGTTATTCCATGCTTAGGACGCGACCCAAGCATCTCGAAGGCTGCAGTGGAATTGCTATATGAGTTACTGCAAGAGAGGTCTTGTTGGAATGTGTCTGTCTGCAGGAAACTCTCTCAACAGGGCAGTGCAATTCTATTCCTTGTCACTCTCTTAAAAGGTCAAGTCAGGGAGTCAGCTGTTTATGCAGAAAAAATCTTGAACAAACTTGTTGAAATTGATGAGGAGAACATTTCTTGGGCTGCAAAATCAGGCTGGTATAAACCACTTATTGATCAGATTGTACAAGGTCAGGAAAACATTTCTTCCCCTCTTAAATTTCATTCAATGCCATTAGCTGCTTGAAGAAAGCAAGAAATAGCTTTTTAGCTAAATCTGGAGATTCTGAAATTCTTGCATGGTACAATCTCTACCAAAAAAAGAAAGAAACTGATTGAATATACCAGTAATTAGCACAACGTACAATGGAAAAGAAATTCATCACAAAATTACCAAACATGCTCCAACTCGGTAAAAGACCTCCTCAGAAAATGCCAAAGACACAGGCATATCCCACTCTAGTGCTATATATAGTTTAGATTTTGACTAGAAAATCTGAAGGCTGAATTCGTTTGTCAGGAGATGTGCTAGTATGCCCATAATTTATTTGCAGTTGTGTGTTTGTGCATCTAAATGAGTTGCTCATTGTTCCGTTCTTTGATATGCCTGTGTCCTTGTGGGTACAATTGTAGCCGGAAAGCATGGTTGACTAGTATTCTTACTGACAAGTTAAATTTTTCAGGGACCGATTCTTCAAGGATTTCAATGGTTCGAGCTTTAGTTAACATGGAATTGTTTGATTCAGACTTAAAGCTCCTCGGTGAGGAAGGGATATTACCTAGTTTGCTTCAAATGTTGTCATCTGGCAATCTTGAATCAAAAGAGTTATCTCTATCTGCCCTGGTTAAACTCTCTGATTGTGCTGCCAATAAAGAGCTTATCGCTGCTGCTGGTGGGCTTCCACTTGTCATCAAACTAATGTTTTCTGCTCATATGCGCTCAATGATTATCATGAAGTGTTCTGAGATCTTGGAGAAATTCTCTTGTGATGATGATGGGATTAAATTCTTTATTGATGAAAATGGGGCCCAACTTGAATTAGAACCTATTGTCAGCGATTTGTTAGCTTTGCAACAGATTGCCCACTCATCCCAGAATGTTCGGAGGCCTGCTTTGCGTACACTTCTTGGAATTTGCAAGTTTGATGCAGGGTTGGTTAAGACTGCAGTTCTCACTGCTAAAGGTGTTTCTCTTGTACTTCCTCTTCTTGATGATACCGACTCAGAAATTCGTGAAATTGCCATAAATCTTCTCTTTCTATTCTCTCATCATGAACCACAAGGAGTGGTGGAATACCTTCTCAAGCCAAAAAGGCTTGAGGCATTAGTGGGGTTCCTTGAGAATGATGACAAGAGTGATGTACAAATGGCTGCTGCTGGTTTATTAGCCAATCTACCAAAATCTGAAGTCTCCGTAACCATGAAGCTAATTGATCTGGATGGGCTTAATGCCCTCATAAAAATTATAAGAACAGGGACCATGGAAGCAAAAGAAAGTGCTCTAAGTGCACTCTTCAGGTTCACAGATCCTGCAAATCCCGAGACACAGCGGATTGTGGTTGAACAAGGAGCTTACCCGTTGTTTGTAAACTTACTGACAACTGGCTCAGTAATGGCAAAAGCAAGAGCAGCAGCGCTCATTGGCGATCTTTCTAGAAGCAGTCCAAAGCTTGTTGTGTCTGAAGCAACAGGATGCTGGTGTTTTAGGCCAACACGTCCACATTTATGCCCAGCACATGGGGGTATCTGCAGTGTGAGAACTACATTTTGTCTCATTGAGGCAACTGCTCTACCCGTCCTGGTAAAACTCTTACAAGGAGAGGTTCATGTGATTGCTCACGAAGCAATTCAGACGCTTTCAACGCTGGTTCAGGAAGGCTCTCCTAACAGAGGAGCAAATGTCTTGCATGAGGCTGATGCCATAAAACCAGTACTCGATATTTTCACGTGGGGTACAGACTCTCTAAAGGAAGAGGCTTTGGGACTTTTGGAGAAGGTTTTTTTGTCAAGGGAAATGGTGGAACACTATGGACCTTCAGCCAGGTTAATTCTTGTTGGCATGACTGGCAGGAATGGTCATGACGATAGCCGTATGGGGAGGAGGGTCGCAAAAGTCTTGTCGCTCCTTGAACGCTATTCGAGATCATCAACATCTCTTCTGCCAGGAATATTTGGGTGAAAACTATCTGTGATCAGGTCAGAATGGAGCTTGCATAATTTTTTAGCTGTTCAGTTTGACTTTTATTATCCATCAGGATGAATCCCTCAAAATATTCATCATACATCCAGTTCGATTGTCTTCCATCAGAAGTGCATGCCGCCATGGTAATATATTTTTGTATACCTCCTTACTTTATATGTTTGTTTGTTTATTTCGGGTGCAGTGCCTTCTTTCAAGCCCTAACATCGCATAGAGAATTTGTAACAATTTAAACAATCGAGTAAAAACTAATGCCCTAATATCGCATAGAAAATTTGCAACAATGTTGATATTAAGGTTCATTGAATTAAGCAAGCATACAGTTTGGTCCATATGAACCTGGTCGAGTACATGTCTCCTGTGCATGTTTATGGACAAACATTCACAAACGTTGACGATTGGACATTCTTGCTTGCATATGTTCTGTGCATGCGTAACCAATTTTAGAATGAGGCAGTTGTTTTTTTTAAGGTTCAAACTCAAGACTTGTCGGAGAAAAGAGGACTATCAATATTAGTTGAGTAGTGTCTTGTAATCTCAATTCATTACATGAGAAAAAAGGGCTTAAAATTCCAATAAAATACGGTTTCTCCAGGCAATTTTCCTAATATCATTGCATGCAGGGGGGCAAGCAAGGCCCGGCCCCAATACATTTTAAATTTTTTCATTAGATAAGTAAATGCGAGTTGGAGGTGTCTTATTTTTTTTATTTTAAAAAAGTGGCTTTATTAAATATAATTAAATGCAACTTTATTTTTGATTTTTTATTTACTCTTGACCAACATGAAAAGAGAAAAATATAATATTATTATTTTGTGTAGCACTAATATAAATTTTGTAGCCGATAAAAACACAAATAAAAACATAGATCACTAATAAATTCTTTTTACAAAAAAATTGAAGCAGAATCACCAATTAATTTATTTTTCATTAAATAAAAGCAATAAAAACACAAACAAAAACATAAATCACTAGTAAATTTTTTTTACAAAAAAATTGAAGCAGAATCATCAATTAATTTATCTTTCATTAAATAAAACAAGATAACTTAAATTTAAAATCTATTTTTATTTTATTTTGAGATGTTTGTTAATAATTTGATGAGTTCTTTTATAAATCTATTATTTTTGCTTATTTTTTTCTCAGATCTATTAATTCTATTAATTGTTTTTTGAATTCTTGTTATGGTGATTTTTTTAATTAATTAGATATATTTTATTGGTTTGTTTTGATTATGCTTAGATTTTTTAATATTTTATTTTAAGCAAAGCCACCAAAATTATCAATTTTTCCAATTTTTTAATGTTTTGTTTTGAGCAGAGCCACCAAAATTATCAAGTTTTCCTCATGATATATGTTTTGATTTTAGAACATGTCATCCAATCATGTACCCCATCATCCAAAGTTAAAGAACATGTCATTGATTGCTAATTTATGTCAAGTATTGATTGAAACAAAAAAAAATCAACAATTTATCCTCTAGTTGGTACGTTGATTCGACTTATTTTGATTTTTCGTGTTAATCATATACCCCATCATCTAAAGTTAAAGAACATGGCATTGATTGCTAATTTATGTTGGTAGGTTAAAATTAGCAATCAACAATTTTAATATCAACAAAAAAATGATATCGTAACCAAGTATTGGTTGAAACAAAAAAATCAACAATTTATCCTCTAGATGGTAGGTTGATTCGACTTATTTTGATTTTTCGTGTTTTGACAACAACTATTGAATGAGCTTTTTAGCGATGAAGATTATTAAAACAAGAGTATTGAATGAGCTTTTTAGCAATGAAGATTATTAAAACAAAACTTTACAATCAGATGAAGGATAATTTTCTTATAAATTATTTGATTGTCTATATAGAAAAAAAAATTGATAAAATATTTATAATTAATATAATAATCAATAATTTCTATTATATGAAAGAACGACGAGCATAATTAAAATAAATATATAAGAATTATTTTTTATTATTTCTTGTCTTATTTTAAAATTTATCAAACATAAATAAAGTTTCGTTTTAGCTAATATTTTTTATATACTTTATATGTTTATATTTAATAAATATAAAGACCAATAGCATTAAAGTGATTGATATATTATAAAGATAAAATTAACTTGATTGTTTTAATTTAATTTGATATTGCTCTAAATCTTTTATCTTATAATAAGATTATTATATATTTGCAGTAAGTTATTTAAAGAAAACTAAATTATATGGATTTTGTTTTATAACTTACATATAATAAATTAAAATAAATATTATATTTTATTATATTAATTTTATTCCTCTAATAAATAATCATAGCTCACTGCTGATTGCATGGACTTGTTTGAACTATATATTCTGGAATATGGTTGTGTAAACAATCTGAGCATGGAATTTCTAGATCCCATTTTCAGAAACGTCGATCTGTTGCTAAGGCTATGGCGCTGAAGAGCAAAACTAACAGAGGGGGTACCAAATGATGGGCTGCTCGGAAAACGTGTTTTGCAATTTCAGTTTTTATTGTTATTAATCACTAAAATCGATAGATGGTGGCCCCGCGCTCCGTTACCAAATCGTTGTTAGAGATTTTTTAATAGAAAAAATTGAAATTATAATAGGATTAATTTAACACCATCTAATTGACCAGATAGTTTAAAAATAATTTGAATAAATAATAAAAAAATAATTTAATTAAAAAATTTTAAGATAATTTTTTATTTTAATATTAAAATAATAATATATTAAATTAATTAGAATTAATCTGTCAAATTCATAATTTAGATCTTAAAATCATAATAATCTCATATAATGCAAATTAACACACACACACACGTGTGTGTGTGTGTGTATATATAAAGCTTGATTTTCAATTAATTAAAGGAAGAAATTAAAAATAAATAAATAAAAAATAAATTTAGTATACTCACCAAATCAACAGCCCAAGTTATGAAATCAAGATAATCTTATACAATGTAAATTTTAAAAAAATTATAAAGTCTAATTTATAAATTTTTTTAAAAAAATCAATTAAATAAATAAATAAATAAATAACTCGAGTCAATTTGAGTTAACTTGCTAAAACCATGACTTACGTGAAAATGAAATACCATCATAAAAAGCAAATGAAACAAATTACATAACTCAATTTTCAATCTACTATTTGTTAATAGATGAAATTGAAAAAAATTCATTAAAAAAAACTAATAAAACGATCCAAATCTACGTAGGTTAATCCGCAAAACTTATAATCTAAATTATAAGACCGAAATAGCCTCATAGAAAACAACTTAGAACAAATAATAAAGCCTAGCTCATAATAAATATAATATTGAAGGATGAAGTTAAAACAGGAGAGGAGATTGGGATAACTACATGGAAAAGCGAATGCAATAAATCATATTTAATCTATAATAAATTAAAAGTTAAATGATGAAATTAAAAAAAAATAATTAAAAATAACTAAAAATGATATGGGTTAACCTATCAAATCCATGATTTATCATGAAATCAAGATAATCTTATAAAAAGCAAAACAAAATAAATCATGAAATTTAATTCTTAACCAATAAAATATTAAAAAAATTCTAATCAACCAAGTTAATCCGCTAAATTTATTAACATAAATAATAAAATTAAAATAACTCTATAAAAAATAAATCAAAATAATTTATAAAACTTAATCCTTAATAAATTAATTATTCTACGAGGTCATGTACAATAAAAGTATCGCTTCTTTAGTGTTTTTGTTAATGATTTAATAACAACAATAATAATTTGTTAATTTAGAAAGCGAAGAGAAGGAGACTTCTTTTCCACCGCCTTGGTCCAGATTTGCAGGTCCGTAGTAAAGCGGTTCTTGTAGGTAGCAACACCTACCATTTGCTGACGTGGTGCCTTTAATTCCCGACCGTGAGGATCAGATGATAAAGATTTGATTCTTCGTCACCCTCTCTCTGTCTTTTTTTCTCCCTTTTCTTTTTTGAAATGATCAAAGAAAGAAACCCCTATGTTCCCTTATTATCTGCATTATTTTTTTTACTACCTGTCTCTCTTGTGTTTTTCTTTTCTTTCTTTTGTTGTTCTTTTCTACTCTCTCTTTCTCTATTTCTCTTATTTTATGCTTTCTCTCTTTCGTTCTTCTCCTTTCTTGCCTCTCTTTTCTTATTTTTCTACTGATTTTGCTACCCCTATTAGGTCATTAGAAGGGCTTATATATAGTCTAAATATGTCTCTATTTAGGAAGGATTCAATGCATTAGTCCTAGGACGCAAATCCCTAGTGATTTGTAGTAAAAGAATGCAAAAAGGAAGCTACAATATTCTAATTTTGATTTTATGCTTACGTCTTATTTCTTTCCAGTTTTAGAGGATGGTGTGGCTTTTTTTTTTT